CAGTTTGAGGTAGAGACCATCTATTCCAAGTTTTTGTAAGGTTTTTTATCATAAATGCATGTTGGATTTTGTCAAATGCTTTTTTTGCATCTATGGAGATATGGGTTCCAAATGTGACTATTGTGATCCATAGATTTTTGAAAAAAAAAGCATTTACAGAGAAAGTATAAAATTTTTTGTAAATTTATGCAAGTTAGCTTCTAGTCCTAGCTTCCCAAATGTTTGTTTTAGTTTTGGCTCCTTCACATATTTACCTTTTTAATTTCAAGATTTGTAATTTTATCTTCAAAACAAGCTCCATTTTTAATTGTGAGTATTCAACATATACAGAAATAAAAAGGCAGCATTTTGAAATTAGTTGAGGTCAGTACAATTCTACTCTTTGGAATCAGTTTAGCTAGATGAATCTGGTCCTTTTGTTGAATGAAAGTGGGTGGTGGGAAATGCCTACCATTTCACTTTGGAAAGATAAGATTTACTCAGGATACTTAGATTTGGGGGTGGGCTCCTGTCTACTATCGCCCTGGCACATGTCAATTACTACATAAAAAGTCAAATGTAATGTCAAATCCAAAGCCACAGAGGGCAGGGGAAAGAGTTCAGTTTCCAAGAAAACAGTGATGGCTTAACAATGTGAAACTTTATCTAGAGAATATCAGCATTAAATTAGTACTGTTGAAACAACAATTGAGGAATTACAGTAACACCTGGTAGTTCCTTCTAATGTACATATAAATAGCATCATGGAAGCTTTTTATATTATGTTTTATGGCCTTATAGATTTAATGAACCTAATGAAAACTGAATCTCCATTCCACATCCCATCTTTTATTTCTAAATAAAGTCTACTCTTGTTTTCAAGGTACAGTTTTAAGTGTCCATATTTCTTAAGCCATATTTGAGGGAATCATGGGTAATCTTGGATGTTGTTATCTCTCTTCATCTTGTAAAGAAAAAAACTCGAGCAGATTTAATATTGGCATTCATTATCTGTCAGTCCCTTCACACGTCCTTCAAATGAATCAAATTTGGAATTCTCAGCATCTTCTGCATCGCTAAAATAAGGTGTGGAATTAGATTTCTTCCTTGCCCCACTGCACTTCTGGTCGCCATTTGGATTGGGTTTACAAGATGGGGAAGCAGGGACGTTTCTTGGCCAGAGTCTTTAACAGTACAGATGTAGAAGAGAGATCGAGACCACAAGGAGACTGGCTGTCAACTGCATGGCACCGCTGCCTGCCTTGGTGGTGGCATTAGTTGGATTTGGGGTAGTAGAGGTGTTCTGAGAGGTGTTACTTGAAGGTTGCTTAACAGCTGTTTGGTTTGAGTAAATCTGCGTGGGTAGGAGCAGTGCCAAGAGCAGCAGCCCCAGCCCCAGCCTGGCCACTATCGCTCTGCCCATGTCCGCTCTGTCGGCACGCGGCACGGCTCGCAGCAGGCCAGGTGCACGAAGATCAGCAGGCTCGGGCGGGCTCAGGCGGGCTCAGGCGAGGTGCGAGAGCATTCACTTTGTCAGTCACTACTAGAGTTCAAGAGCTTAAAATAGTACCTGGCACAACATAGGTACCTGGGACTCATTTGTTAAATGAAAGAAGAAATGAATGCATGAATCCATGAATGAATGGATCAGTCAAGACATCAAGGAACCCTTGTTGGAAGTTTTCTCAAATCATCTCTTTAGTGAATTAGAAAACGTGTGTTTTGGCCCTTAGGTTCCCTGTGTATTTCTACATATAATCATGTGTACCTATATGCAGAATGTAAAATTGAAATATTTTCAGAAGCAGGATATTGATTGGACATGTGGATAACTACTTGGCTAGGTGGCAGGGAGATATTTGAACAAAAATATCTTGCCTAGAGAAAAGCAGGTGGAATTTGCTTTTTCCACATTTTTTTGCCAAGCCAGATAATTTACTTCTCACCTGGGAACAATTTCTTTCCCGCAGGCATAATGTGAGTTTCACCACAGCTGTGGAGCTAAAGTCAAAGTCAAAGTAGAGATTGCTGTGTCACTTGCTGGGAAATGGCATTTTAGTTTGGGTCTGTGTCCTTGTCTGGCAGCTTTCTTATTTGTGTTTAAAAACATAGACTGCGGAGAGGTGCACATCTGTTTCTGAGTATAAGTGGAATATGGAAGAAATTTTTGTGTGGCTTTAAATTTCTGGACTCTTTGGCTGTCCCAGTATATCCATTTTGACTTTTTTCCAAGAGGCAGTAGCTGCATGTGGATGTGTGAATTATATATTTGAGATCATCATTAAAGAGGAACTTACATTTCTTTTTATCTTCTGAATCCAGAACTCTGAGACAACTAGGTTTATAGTAGGATGTTAGTATCATCCATCTCCTCTATCTACTTCCTTCATTCTTAGTACCATATAGTGAGGCTGGAGAGTAAAATAAATTACTATGTATATTACTTTTTTTTTGTCGCTTTTTCTTCTGATGTTGACATTTCATAAGAGTTTTGTGAATTGAGCTCTTAGTGACAAAGATCAGGACAGCACTAGACCATGGGTAAAAGGAGGAACGTGAGCCTCTTCTTATTCCAAAGGTATGAAAAAAAACATTGCTCTCTTGAGTGCTGAGTCAGAGACTGTAATAACAGCTTCTGATTTCTGGAGGCAATGCAGACTGGGCCTGAAGGAATAGGACAAGGACCAGGAAGATGCCCCAGGCATTTGTGGTTACATTATGCCAGTTACAGAAACAGAAATGTGATGGAAAAGAGGATAAAGAATTTTTGAGAATTATTTATGAATTGATAAAGAAGAGAAAGATATTTTTGAGAATTATTTACAAGTAGATAAAAAAGCTTAGAAAGTGTAATTGGTTATGTATCCTTTTCCTGAGCTATCTTGCCTAATGCCTAACTTGATATATTCAGTATGTAATTAGGGATGTATTTCACTGTATAGTCAAGCCATTTCAGTCTTGAGAGTCTCATTTTGATAAGAAAATAACACTCCTGGGTTTAACACTAAGTGGTATTTCATATGAACTCCTTTCTAGAAATTAGTTGACCTAAGCCCAGAGCTGAACTAAGGTAGTATCAGATAGGTCATCCACAGTTACAGAAATGCTGAGAACTCAAAGAGAAATTGTAGACATGTCTAAAAATAAATTTCACATCTCAAAAAGGAAGAATATGAGCCTTGAAGATAGAACTATGCCTAGTATCTAGGAGTAATTTTACCATATTAGCCTTGGGTTCCTCCATTGTGAAAGTGAGGATGAAAGATAAGCTATTATGTGATAATATTTGATCCTTTTATACTCACCTGATTCTTCAGAAGGAAAGATAAGGGGGAGCTGTTCAGTCACTTCTTTATACTGTATAGGATCTAAGGAATGAGACAGTGGAAAGAAAACACACAAGCCCAAAAAGTGGACGTGCATAATCTCAGGCAGGATTTGACAGTGTTCCCTTTGTGATAAAGTTTTATTGGAACACAGTTGCACTCATCCACTGAAGTGTAGCCTTTGTTCCTTCCTACCTTAATGGCAGAGATGAATAAGTATAACAGAGGTCCAGTTCACAAATCTAAAATATATATTATCTAGCCCTTAAGGAAAAGTTTGCAAACTCTAAGTAGTGTAGCTCTTTTGTCTTAGGTATTTCATTAAACTTTGGGTTTAGAAAAAGGGAATCAAAATTGTATTATGAACATAGGAGTAAGGAAATTCTATTTCTAACATTCTGGATTGGAAACAACTCTGAAGTCACAAATGATTTCTAGTTTCATTTTCCTACACATAATCACCAAATTGGACATTGGTCCACCGTCCCAGTCTCAAACTTCCATTAGATGTTTTACTTTCTTTATTTTGTATGTTATTTACCATTTGTTCTTTCACCATTTTCATAAACTCTTTAGGCCACTGTCAAACTCATATCCAAAATATAGTATTCTTCCCTTTTTTTGTACATATGGGCCACCTCTGTCATATATCTGTTGAGTCTTGACATAAATCCAAACAGTCTACCAGAATATAAATACTGTAAAAGACTAGAAGAAAGGCTTTAATGGGTTGAGAGCAGAAAACATGTTGATAGCATGAAAGCAACATGCTTAGATTGTGCATTGCATGTGCGTGTGTGATTATGTGTGGGGTGGGTGACAGGAAAGAGAGATTATTTACGAATTGAGGACAGTTACTGTATAATAAGTCAATGATAAATGGCATATGGGACTCAATATGTTAGGATTATGAAAAGCAGATTTTGAAAAGTTTTGCTGAAATTTATCATTGGAATAATCTCTTTACTGTTTCATAAGAGAACACAGATTTACATGATTTTTAAAAGTTGTTTTGCATGCTAGGCTATGATATATATAAATATATTCCATATGTTATGTAGGCAAAAAGTTTGTTTAACATTGTGCAGATCACTTATGTCATGTAGAGATAAGGTCTATCTTTTTTAGGAGAACTCCATCAGATAATGTATGTGGAAACAAAGTGAACTGATTTTTCTTTTAAAAAAACCATTACCGCATTTACTATAGAGTCACGGCCAGCAGTCAAAAAAGTTTCCAGTGTAACCTTGAATTAAACTGATGTGATTGGGTCTCATTTCAATCATCGCCTTATACAAAAGACATTGACGTTGCTCTGATAAAAAGTTTTGTCTCCATTGAATGAAAATTCATATCACATGCTTTAAGCAAATAAAGGAAAGAGGACGGCATTTCCCTTTTTTGACATGACTTCACATTGTGCTTTGAAAAGCTAAGCCTCAGGATACATTATATGCTTTCTTCTTTGCACCTGGTCCTACACCTTTTAGTAAATGCTTGCTGTTAAAATGATAAATGGATGCTATTAAAACACTTTAATGTGTAGTGCACCAAAAGTGCCTGCTTAAAGGCTAGTTTTCCTTCAGAATTTTGAAGAAGATGCCTTCTCAGCTTTTCTTGTTTGGCACAATTCTTAAGAGAATGGGAATGTGTATATGTCTGTGTTCCTCTAAGAGTCGACCAGAAGAAATGCTATATTACCGTAAAAGCTTCAAATGGCTTTAATTACCTATTCTTAGTTGGTAAATAGCTTACTTCTTCTTCCTTCTTAGGCAAGTGGAAGGTGAAGTGACATGGATGGAATCTCAAACACTCTCATATCACTTCACCTGCTGATTGTTTTTAGATGTGAAATTCTTCAGTACATGTAGCTTCTGGATGAATGACATGTCACTTTGCACATTTTTATACTTTTAAAACTTTGTTAGTAGCAAAACATACTTTAGAAAAACTAACTTTAAAAAATCATTTATTAGCTAAGATGTACATTATTTTGAAATACACACAAGCCTAGTTCTCTGAGGATAAAGGAAAAAGACATACATATCTACTTTGTATGCTCTTTGTCCCTTTATAGCATATGTGCTTCAATGTATTTAAAATGTCAAGTTATAATCAAATTTTGGAATTTCATGTAATCATGAATAATTTGGCATGAAAGGAAACACCATTTGCTTTGAATCAATGTTAATCCAATACAATTTTAGAGGCTCTGGATGAAAAGATCATCATTATAGGCTGAAAAACAATGATATGTGTACAAGTGCCCATTAGATGTACAACTAGTTAATAGTCTTAGATAGGCATTTAAAAGTTATTTGGTTTTCTGTCTAATAGTTGCTCTTCCTTGAATGTTGTTTCAGAATTATGTACAATTCTCAGACTACAATGATATAATACTAAAATAAACTGAATCCTACAAGATGATTAAATATATCCTTATTTACGGAAACAGAGCTTTCTACTTTATTTTATCTTTATTTCCATTTTGCTGAGGACAATATATGAAATATTTGCAATAATTAATTTTCCTCACCAAAGGCCTAAACTTTTTGTTTTTCCTTTCTCTTTGAATTTACGCTTGTTAACTTACTCAAATTTGTTAGAACAACAAAGGAGCTAAATGATCTACTTTTACCAAGTCTTCCCTATGTACCTGGATAGCAATGAGATAGCAATAACTTCTCACTTTTCTGACAACTTCCATTGTTGAGTGTGGTACGAAGCAAAAATAAATGCCTGATTTCTCACAGGCAGTCCTCTGAAATGCCTTCTATCATTTGTAATTTCTCTGAGGTTATTTGGTGGTTATGATTTATCACCTTGCCACTGCATGAGTCAGCCGTGAAATCTCTATGACTCAATGGCACATAACAAAAGCAATCAGGAAAGTGACATTTGAATGAAGGGTTGGTGGATGGTTTGAACAAGATTTCATTAACTTAAAGAACTAAGGCAGAGGAAGTTCCCTAACTTTATGAAATCTTACGAAGTCAACACTTCAATACTTTCTGTTCATTACTTAATACCTCTGAACTTGGAAAATAATTACCGTCAGTTGGAGACAAACAACAAATATGGATTTATGGAAGGGTGACTGTATAGATTA